AATCCACAAAGCGAGAGTATCATGCTCGGTTCTGCGTGGACTTGGCGGCCCGGCGGGCGACGGCGCGGCCCGTCGGAAAGGGGGCGGGGAGCTTTGCGGAGCTCGCCCCCCTGGACCGTCGGACGCCGACTCAACTGCAAATGCGAGCCGCGAGCGGCGCGGGCCGACAGGGCGCGCCCTCGGCGAGGGGGCCGCCGAGCCGCTGAGTCAGCCAGCGAGACCTCGATGGGGGAACTCCTTCGCTGAACGGCGGCCCAGTAGGTGACGCTGCGCAGGGCAAGTCGAATGCCAGAACCACAGCAGGTGCATGCTGACGGTAGATCGCGGTGATCGCGCAGCTGAAGGGGCGGTGCGCAGCGAAGCGGCACTGCCCGCATCGGCAAGCACGCGCCTCAACTTTTCCTGTTCACTAAGGCGGCGATGTGGCTGAGTAGGTGGATGGAGGAAGAGCTGCAAAGAAAGGCTTCCAATTTGGTAGACGCGCGCGCTGGCTGAAATCGCACGCCAGCAAACCTGGCCCGCATAGGGCCTTTCTGTGAGCTGCATCCAGCGCGACGTAGCCGATTGTAGCATGAGCGAGGCCGGGAGAACCAACGTCGGTGCCAGCGGGCACTCTGAGAGGTGGTTGGCGACGAGCTCGGCCAAACGCGGCTGCGCTCGGCGCGCCGGCCCGCGCGCGTGCGCGCGCAGCCGGGGCGCCGCGACGCCCCGGCGTGCGTCTCACAGTGCGTCGTTGGGCACAAGCGCGGCATGCCTCTGCCCTCGCGCGCGCCCTAGCGCACGGCTGAGAGCGACGCTGCAAAGCGTGCGCTACAAGGCGCGTAGAGGCGCGCGGGCGTCGCGCGCCGCGCGCGCTGGCGCCGACCCTGCCCCAGCGCGCGTCGCGCGACGCCTGGGGGCGCCGAGGCGTAGCGCGCCGTGCTTGCGCAGCTGCGTTAACGGGCGCGAGCAATGCCCCAGGCGCGCTGAGCAGCACATGGGCGCGCATAGGTAGCGCGCGCCGCGAGGCCTGCGCCGCCGCGCACTGGCAATGCGCAGGCGAGCTCCCCGCCAGCGGGCCCTGATTGATTGGGCACTTGCCACTGAAGGGACAAACGCGCGCACTTCTCTGCCCTGCGCTGCCGCGGTAGAGGGTGCGCAACTTGTCGCGTGGCCGCGTGCCTAAACCGAACTGTGCGGACGCGATGCTGCTGCCGAGAGCGCAGCAAATGCGTCGGCGGGCCTGAAGCTGCATATAATGCGATCACTCCCGGCACTCTTGCGAAACCGATTGCGCGGGAAAACAGCGACAACGTGCGCCGTGTCTTCAAGGGCATCCACCCCTTGGAAAAATAATGGCATCTCCGTTCAACCGGCAACCCCCCTATCTCCGATTAACTGACCACACGGTCAATTTCGACCAAAAGCTCGAAACAACGAACCAACCGAACAGGTGGAATCGACAACACGTACACAAAGAAACGGATATATTCTAAACACATACATATACCTTTGCAATGCAAAGGCAATTCGTTCAAAGCAATCACAAACGTGGTCTGGAAACTAACATTTCGCGCTCAGATCCACTCTGCTCTAGTTTCACCGCGCGCGGACACTAATGATTTCAAGCGCGCCCCTTTCGCGCAACCGCCGTCGTCGTTCAACCGCCGCGCAACATTTGACAGCGCTGGGCTGCCCTGAAGGATTGATCGGTGCCCGCCAACAATAATCGGCAACGAAATCTTTGATCCGACGGTCACCTGTCCAGCAGCGACTGCCAGGACTGATATTATGTGCATCGCGCGTCCGAGCGCCAGGGCGCGCTGCGTTCGCCAGAGCGTGGGACGAAAGGTCTCGTTGTCAAGTGCGCGGCGCGGCTCTGCCCCGATTGCTTGTCAATCGCAGTCAACATCGCTACCCTGCTGGGTCAGTGAACGGGCGCCGTGCCCGTGGTGAGGCTGACAAGTGGCCGTGGCCAGGGCCGCGCGCGGTGTAGCATGTAGACTTGGCGATGTCCTTGTTTCTTGGGGAAGGGTGTGCGACGAGGATCCCAGGCAGCACGCGGCACGACGGCAATAGGAGCCAACGGCATGTCTGGACGCCTCATCCTAGAAGAGCGCTGATGTAGGTGGTAGGGAGGTCCACGTTGAAGTCCGCGTCGACGACGAACCAGAGGAAGATAAAGCAAGGTAGCTCGGAATTGCCGAACTGGTCGAAAAGGCAGATGGGACGACGAACCCAAGTGAGCAACGGTCGTGGCGTAGCCGTCGTGTTGGCTGCATCTGGACGACATGTCTGCAGATGTCGACGGATGCGCGTTTGGCTAGCTGCGGTCCACAGTCGGGGCAAGAACATGCAACGGCGACATCCACTTGGTGATAGGTGGCTTGCTGCCCCCGGGCGGCAGGATGGGGACCTCTTCGATGGGAAACCACCACGATGTGAGCTGCGGAAGCGCCTTGGGGCTTGGGCCTGCGCAAGGACGAACACCATGTTGAAGCACGTGGCAGCCGTGGCAACG